TTACTATTATTTTTTCGATTTCATATATATATATATATATTGTTTTTGTTGAAAACATTCTGAATTATATTTTATGAAATTATGAATATATATAAAACATTAAAATCATAATAATAATTTTTTCTGTTAATTTAAAATTTATTAATTTTAGTGTTATAAGTATAATCTAGTGTTTTTATGTTTTAATTCCACAAGTTCTTTAATTTTAATTCAACCAATCAAAACATTTGATTTATTTTAGGAAGGTTGACATGTCACATTTACATGTCATCAATTAAAAGCACTAACTTTTGCTGTAATGTTGACAAGTCAGCTATTTTCAATAATGTTACTTCTCAAATGATATGTAGTGGATGGATTATAAAAAGAAAAATTTATTTTTTCAAAGTGATTTACATATATTCGTATATCCCCAATATAAACTCCTAATTTATGGGAGTTTATGCAACCGCATAATCAAAGAATGGAAATATTTGAAACTATAGTTTTGATAATAGGGAATTTTGCGGAGCATGAGACTTGGGCATGAGCTTATCAATCGCATAATCAAAACAAGAATAACATCTAAAACTAGAGATTTCAATTAGTGAAGTAAGGGGGGCACTTGACTTGGTGATGAAAACCCCGATCCAACTGAGCGCTTGGAGCAAGTACCAGTGGTCATAATAGATCTAAAAGTAACAAAGATCTGCACTATAATCCTTACATTAAGGATACTAAATATAATTGTAATAATCACATTAATAGTTGCATTGACTCTTATTTTTATTCTCACATCTGTATTGATAGTCACTTTTTAAGCTATAGTAATAGTTCCAATGATTTGAGTGACCTAGATTTTTTTTTATAGTTATTGTAGTTCTAGTTATCTGAATAATAGATCTAAAAGTGACAACAATCTGCACTATGATCCTTACATTAAGGATACTAAATATAATTGTAATAATCACATTAATAGTTGCATTGACTCTTATTTTCATTCTCACATATGTATTTATTGATAATCACTTTTTAAGCGATAATAATAATTCCATCAGTTCACTAATAATTCTATCAAAGATCAGAAGATTTAGAGAAGAGATCAACAAAGTAGTGGAGACCCTCCTAATTGATATGGAACTTGACGACCAGTTCAATACCCTACCCCAACGTGTCAACCTTCAAACAACCGCCAAAGCACATGATATAGGTCTATTAACAGATTTTGCATCTTTCAGCCTCAAAGATGATCAGTCTCAAACAACCAAAGTATATTCATTTTCTTGACAGTAAATGAAGCTCAAAACACCAAGAATCTTACTGAGATCGCCCCAGAGCTTTAAGATACCACATATACAACACCGATAGCCGAGAAAGAATAAATGGAGCAAGAAGACGTTGTAAAACGCAACCAAGAGGAGACACTTGAAGAACTCTACCATTTCGACTTCAGTGGACTTCAAGAAGACATCAACTCCAAAGTAATTTCCCAAACTGGACCTACACAAAGACTGGTCAAGCCAACTGCTACTAAGACCCCTTCGCGCTAAAATCATGTATAATCAATTTATAAGATTTGTGCATGTAAAATGACTTGTCCAAGTGGTTCTTAGCATGTCAAAGGAGCACCGGTCCGAGCCTGAAAGAAAGCCAAGAGAAGTGAACTTTCCATTTTTGGGTATTTTTGCCTTATACATTTTGTAGTTTTTTGTTTGCTTTGTGTTGTTGTTTTTTTCTTTTATTTTGGCCCTAGGGCTAGCTGACAAGCTCTAATAAAGCTCCCCTGCAACGTTGTATCTTTGGTTATTTTTTGATTATCAATAAAGATCAAACTTCCTTCTTGATTCAAGCTGCTGTTTGTCTAAGATCCTTAATCTTGCCTTAGCGTATGTAATTCACCTAAGACCAAAGTCTTTTTTTTGTATCAGAGACTCGTTCATCATCTATGTGGTGCCATTCGTCATCAATCGATCCCTCAAGAGAGAGCGTGTGTGATTCACCTAAGACCAATTCTCTCTTTTGAGAATTGAAGATGGAGGAGAAATGTTACATTCTTGGCTCGACCACTGACTTACCGATCCCATTTTCATCTAATAACACATATAGCCCAAAACTTGTAATTTTCAAGTACAACTAGCAACGGTCCAGTCCAGGTCCAACCCAACTTTTTATATGAAACGAAATATTTTAAAGTTTTCATCTGAATGATCAATTATTAGCTTTGGCATTATAAACATCGCTTGCAACGCTTACATTTTTAAAAAATGTTAGTCAATGTTGTATTGCATGTTCTACTTAGAAAACAAAATCAAAAATTGAATATATGCCGTACGTTAAGGGGACAAAACAGAAATCAAAATAGCAGAAGATAAAAGTTGAATTATCACAAGTTTAGTACGCCAAACGTGGGGACTATCTTTGGGCTGATTCTGTTGTCTACAATGATTATTGATTTTGATACATTGCATTTACATCTAATATTTAAATATTAACGCCTCCTCCGAACTTCTAATGGGCAATGTAAAGGGGCTCGTTAATTAATTAACTAATACTGTACCATCTTGTAGTATACGATCGGATCCTTCATCCTAAAGAAAGTTCAAAATATTTTAATGTACTTTCCTCTATGAGTAGATACCGGTCGTGGGGCCAATCAAGAAATAAGTACGTGTAATTAGGAGCTAAAATGCTTACTTAATTTCAGGTTAGATATGATCATATGAATCCCTATGATAGTCTTTGATTAGTTACTAAAAGCACTTATTGTCTCCATAATGATTTTATTTGTATAAATGTTCATCTCCGTTGACAAAAAAGAGAGCGAAAAAACATCAAAATATAGTTGGTTCAGTACACGATGGTACATTTTAGCTTGCAATCCTTGAGTATTTTCTCAAAAAAGAAAAATAATGGGTCTGATTGGTATGTCAGATGAATAACAGAATAGCGGAATAACTGAAAAATTACTAGCGGAATGAACTGAACTGAATAATATTTTAGCTGAATAATTATGAAACGCTGAAAAGCTACTTTTAGTAGATTAATCACGTTTTATTTTTTTTAGTTATATTTTTAACATGCTAGCGGAATCACGTTTCAAAAACATAAAAAAACGTGAAAACGTAAAAACGTGATGAATAACATGAATGGTAAAAAATAACAGAACCAAGTTTCCAAAACGTGAAAACATGAAAAAGCTGCATACCATTCAAATCCAATATATTTATCTCCATCCTTTTTATACGTTTGGCAACTACAACAGAGATATGTAATTATGGATAATTAGTAAAAAAAATAATGCAGGTTCGAAACCGTAAAGGATGATTAATATCATTATTTTTCTTATCTTACTGTTAACTCATTTTTTTGGGGGGTCGAAACTGTTAACTCGTTTTATATAGGTTAGATACATAAGAGCACCTTTATCGATACTCAAAGAAAAGTAACTAAAGAATTAAATATTATTATTAGTTGAATATAATTAAAATATATTTTTAATATTAAAGACAAAACAAAACCAATTATAATTTGACAACTAGATAGAAATATCACATTCTCTCGTATATTTCTATCCTTTTTTTTTTACTTTTTATTTTTTTTTTATTTTTTAGATATTCAATTTAAATTCTGCGATAGATCTGCTCTAATAAAAAAGCGGATTAGTTAAATATGTATACGGCAAAAACACTTAAGCTGAATAGAAGTTTTACAAATAATGATAGAACACTAAAAAATTGGTTTAGTAGATAAATGATATTCTATTTTTTCAGTTATACTTTTAATTAATGTGTCCATAGGATATAAGTATAAATAACTTTTTCGATATATGATAATATGAAACTTGATGAATGTTCTAAGTGATAGAAAACTCAAAATCACATTTCCTAAACGTAAAAATATGGTACCATTCATCAATAAATACTAATTTAGAATGCTATGCGAGAACCTGAGTCATAGAAATTAGCGCAACTTATAGACCAAACCAACTCAACGCAGGAGAATAGTTTGACATCATCTTCCGAGGAATGCCAAGTACGAGAAGAACAAAGCAAAGAACTAGGAACTGCGAGATGTTAGGTTGATGCCTCTTAGACCCATGATGGTCTTTTATCTGGAGGAGGCTTCTTCTTAGAGTGCGAAGACGGGAGCCGAACGGTGGGTTTGATGGCGATTGACCAGGTCTTATCCCCACTTCATGCAGAGACGGAAGCTTTACTATGGGCTATGCGAGCCCTCACACCATGCCATATTCCTCGTCTGATCTTTCAAACAGATTGCCAGCTGTTGGTAAGAATAACTGAAGAAGAAGAGGAATGGCCGGCTTTAGCAACAAAATTAGAAGAGCTTGAGCTTCTCATATCTTATCTTCATAACTTCTCTCTTGAATTTATTCCTCGTAATCTAAATGTCCGGGCAGATTGTCTCCCTAAGAGCGCTCTAACCCGAGGTTATTCTTTTTCATATGTAAACAATTTCCTTCCAAATTGGCTAACTTCTGAACCATCCTTCTTTGAGATCTAATAATACAAGGAGCTTTTAACGTCAAAAAAAAAAAATACTAGTTTAGAATCTTTAAATGGTTAATGAAAATTGAAAATCCAAAGTATCCCTAAATCGTAGTATATCATTCGATATATAAGAAATAAAACATATTAAATAATCGTTGACGATGAAAAATCAGCATTTCTCAAAAGTGATTAGCTATTTAAATTCACTAAAAAAATTGGGTTTGATTGGTAGGTTAATTTAATAGCTGAATATCAGAATAGCTGAATAAATAAAATAGTAAAATCAATAGGATGTGTAAACTGAAAACTGAATAAATTTAAAATGCTAAAAAACTAGTATTTATTAAATGAATAGATTTTTTCTCTAAACTAATTATAAATCTGAAACATGTTGAATGAATTAAAAAATAACATGTTAATTTTCATTTTTAGTCATTCAATATTTAATATTATGAATGATATGTATTTAGTAGAATCAATGTTTTATTTTAAAATTGTAAAAAAACTACGTATCATTGAACCCTGCTAAGTTGCCACAAGAAAAACGTATTTTTGTGGATAGTTATTTGATTACAGAAAGAAAATATTAATTTAAAGTAGAAATTAACGATATATATATATATATATGCAATTAAATACAAGAAATTCAAAAGATTTTTCGTTCGTGAGTACAGAAGCCCACGTGGATATATCAAAGAGGGATCTATTAACTGACGGCGTCAAGTCAACGTGCAGTCAATAAAACCGTCAATGGTAAAAGTTAACGGAGATAGTCATTACACGGATCTCTCTAATCTAATCCGGGACTCCTCATCTCCAGCCGTCTCATCGGAGAATCCACCGGCGAAGTTAAAGACTCCGGCGACGTTGTCAACGAATCGTCATATTCGATCGGAGACGGAGGCGAAGAAGAAACGAAATCCACCGGAGGCAAAGGTCGACTATTAGTGTCTAAGGATTCCATCGCGGTGGTGGATGGCGGCGGAAGAGGAGTTATCGGTGCCGGATAAGAGAAATTGCTGAGATTTTCAGGAAGCTTTGATTTGTTTCCGTCGGCGACTTTAACGTCTCTCGTCAAGTAATTCCTCAGGCGTTTAACGTCGGCGAGTTTCACCGGTTTCAGTAAGAAATCCTCCGCACCTTCTTCAAGGCATCTGCAGATTTAAGCGTTTTCTTCAATCGATCTGAAATTTCTGATCTAATAATTACAAAACTGGAAAATTAATCCGGCGAGAGATTCACCTGTCGATTCGAGTGAGTACATTCTCCGACGACATAATTACGACTGGAACTTCCCGGAAACTAGTCGATTCCTGTTTCAGAACCACCCACATTGTTCAGTAAGAAAAAAATTTCCAGATTGTTTTGTCAGGGCGGGAAAATTTCAGACCTTAATCTTCTTCAGAAGCTCGTATCCAGTCATTCCAGGCATACAGTAATCAGTGATGATCAAATCAACCTTCAATCTCTGAAAATCAAAAATCAAAATCAAACTCAGGAATCTCAAAAGCTTAAAGAGATTTGTTTTGAGGGATGTACATCGAATTCGACGGAGGCTTTATCATCGTCTAATCCTAAGAATTCAAGAGCGCGCCATCCACTATCAACCGCCGTGACTGCATTTGAATCGCCGGCGATTAGCTTCGTCGGAAATGCTTGTTTGCTAAAGAGAAGAAGAAGAAGAGGAAGAAGATAAAAAACCTTTGCAGGAGGTAATACGAAGCAATCTCTCGATGACGATACGATCGACGAGGCTGTCATCAACGGCTAGAACGTGAACCTGGTCAGAATCCAGCGGCGGAGATTCTAATTCTCCGATTCCTATTCCGATCATCTCTGACCTTCGTAGACACGAAACGCCACCGTCTCTCGGCATCTCTGTCCAGTGAGGAGAGACGGAAAATGCCAACTCTGTTTTTTGCTTGCTTCTTCTTCTTGTCCTCTCACTATCTTTTATATATTTCGCTCAAAATCAAATCTTTATGGGTGTCTTATTTATTTTTTTCACTTTTAAAATAATAAAAACATCCCTTTCCACAGAAGAATATACAAAAGGCTATTTGGTACTTTACTATTTAGTGTTTTTTTTTTGGTAAGAAATTATTTAGTGTTTCTTTGATTCTCACTTTTACTTTTGTGAAAAATATCTCTTTTCACAAAATGGTGATCTAACAATATTTATCCATCTCTTTTATGGAAGATTTGGAGATCATGATCTTGAAGATTTTGAGTGGCTTGTATAATAAAAAAATATATATCACAAAAAAAACCAAACAACCAAAAATAATATACCAAAGCATTAATCTTTCTATACAATCTCACCTCTTTATTAGTAAGGATCACATAAATGACGAGCTTGACATAAAATAAATACTTCAACTAAAGAGTTATGTCACTTTCTCTCTGAAGTCACAGCCATAACTACCAAACTGCAACATTACGACCGATAACTACTGTTGAACCAGAAAATCACTACTAAAATTTTTATTAACAGTTATGGGTTTCAGAGAATAAGATTTTTTATTGATAGCTGTAAAGCGAAGCGATTACAAGAGATAGCTTAACCGAGAGGTTATGCCGAAATGAAAAGAAAATGTTTGCGAAGTAAACTAGAAAGCGTTGGAGTTCTTGGTTTTAGTTCTGCTGCTCTTTAGATTGTATGAGTTGTTTCCTTAAGCTTCGAGGTCTTCTTATTTATATGGATAGGAGGTCGGTTGCTCCGAACTCCTTTTCTTTTTTCCCTTTGGTGAATATTTTCATATTTGCGATATAGAAATATCTCTTATTCTCCGAAGAATATGGAAATTCTCCTTTATCATTTGCGTTGATCCGATGCATCCGGATTCTAAGATTATCCTTTACAAGATTTCCTTTTCTCCGAGCTAGGTCGGCATAGTCTCCTTGGTCTTGGTGGGCTTAGGTTATTGTTAAAGAGAACCTTTTAGGAAATGTGCTCATTTTCCCTCTAACAATAAGTCCCCCCCCCCCAGTTCGGGGAGACTGATTGTAAATCAGGTCGGCGGACTTCATGAAGTTAAGCGGGTTTGATCTCGCAATAAGCATTAGCTCGTCAAGAGCGTTTCTTCGCGGTGGCCAGCTCGGCCTGATTTTAAGTGGATTTATCACGTGGCGCTTCCTTTGAATAAATTATTAAATATTCTGACCCATTAGAGTTTTGCTTTAAGCGGAAAAGGCAATAGGTTTGCCAGACAGCGAGATTGTGCGGATCTCGATACGCGTCCCTTTAGGAAACTGTTGATATTTCCTTCCGATTTTATTACTGAGTTTTTATCTCCTCATCTTCTTGCTCCAAAAAATTTTACTTTCTTCTGCTTTGAAAAATCCTCTCCTTGCTGCAATAATCTTTTTCTTTACTCGCCGATCTTCCTTTTGCTTCCGTAATTCGCTCAGAAATTTTTTTCCAGAAAATGTCGACTTCATCGCAAAATTCCTCCTTCGACGATGATGAGATTTCTCTTGCCGCGAGGCGAGCCTGGGTTAGCCCAGTTCCTTCTTCTCCCTCTAATTCTGAGGGGTCTTCAGGTTATCAGGACGAGATTTTACCGGACCACCCTGACGTAGATTCCGAGATGAAAGCAGATGGTCCCGAGCCAGTCGGTCGGATCGAAGGTCTTCCTCGGAAGATAGCAATGCCAAAGAGTGATTTGGCTAAAGGAGACATGATAAAAGATGGCCGGACCTGGATGACGGCCGACAGGCTTCAAGAACTCAGACGACAATGCGATTTCCCTGCCGGAGTCGAGGTACTCCTGCCGCAAGTACACGATAGAGTGACATTGCCGCCGGAAGGTTATTTCTGCTCGTACGAGTGTCACTTCGCCGAGTTCGGCTTGAGTTTTCTGCTGCCGCCAATCCTTCTTCGTTATTGTGAAAGGAGGAAGGTGCCCCTCGGCCAGCTTTCACATGTCGTGATTAGGCATCTGATTTCTATGGTGGCGGTAGCTCGAGTAGCTGGGGTTCCTTTCAACTGTGACATTTTTGAGAGGATCTCGCTTTTGAAGCCTGGGAGGTGGAGCATTTTGGGACCGTAGTATCATTTCTATACCACCATGAGGCATGGGATCGTTGGTGGAGATCCGACGAGCAAAGTCCACGAGTGGGATAAATACTTATTCTTCGTGAAGATTAATGAAGCCTCCATCAACTGCTCCGAACTTGAATTATTTAGAGCTTGGAAATCGAAACCTTGTAAGCCGAACTGAACTTCTGTCTCCTCTTTTTTTATATTTAGCCAATCTCGAGATGCTTGACATGCTCATTTTTTCTTATTATTATTTTTAGTGCAAATCAGCCTCGGGAAGGACCCGTTTTGCTTTGATGTCGACATCATGAAGCTGTGCAACTTAAGCCAGCAATTATGGTCTGAGAAGGAGAAGAAGGGGGCCGCCGAGAAGAAGAAGAAGTTGGCCAAGCTGGCCGAGAAGAAGGCCAAATCTTCGAGGGTAGGTGCGTTACCAGATGGAAGTAATTTTGATTATTTTTTTGGAGAGTAGCACCTCATTTACATGTTTGTTTGATATTTTCAGCCGATAAGAGGGTTTCGCAGCGGAGGTCCGAAGGAGCTGGCCCAAAGAGGAGAAGGGCGGCTCTGGCAATGGGGGCAAGTACTCATGCGAACTCCCCTGCGAAGCAAAGGAGGACAACTCCTCGAGATCCACCCATTTTGGTGGATTCTGATGAAGCCGAGCTGGCTGCAGAGAATGAGACTCTCGCAAGGTAAATCTTTATTCTTACTTCGTGTTTCGTTTTGACGTGCCGAGATAATTTTTTGATATTTTGCTTTCTTCTTCTTTTTTTTTAAAGTTTCTCCAGGGCAACAGCGCTGGAAAGATTGAGGCGAGCCAGGGCCAAGAAGGCTGTAAGGGACCCTCAAGGCAAAATGTTCCAAGGAACTACTGCTCAAGCCGAAGGCGGGGATGATGGGGTCCCCCTGATGCTGCCGCGAGCTGTCGCGAGGCTGTTCCCTCGCCGCCCCGAGCCAACATTCCTCAGAGTCCCAGGGTCCAGGATGATGCAGGTCATTCAAGGACTGAAGAAGCCACTGCGGCCCGCCAGGAGGCCGAACATCCACCCAAGGGTTCTGCTTCTCCAGAAAGTGCTGGTGCTCCAGGTGCTGATGGTGCCGGTCCAAGTGCTGACGGTGCCGGTCCAAGTGCTCCCGTCGAGCGTAAGCAGGAGGATGAGTTCTTCGACTATAACCCTAATCACTTTAGCGTGATGTGGGATGGAGTTACTCAGGCAATGCTCAACCGCGAGTTCGCCGCAAATCTGATCTGGAAGTGCAGGAAGAACCTAAGGTGGGGAAAACCACTTCGAGAGCTGAAATTGGCGGAGTCGATATCTTCGGCAAATCATCTGATTGCCCAGGTATTTATTATTATTATTTGGTGTTAATGCGTTTCTGCCTCTTTCTTTGCGTTTCTGACAAGTAGGTCGTGGTGCGGGGCTTAGGAGCGTGTATGTCCGCATTCGCGACGTATGACAACAACTTTTGTCAGGAAGAGATGATGTTGAACGTCGCCTGTGCCGAGATCAAAGAGCTCAAAAAGATGGAAGAGGAGAATCTGCTTTTCAGAGTGAGGTGTTCCCAACTTGAAAGCACCCTTGAAGCCTTTGAAGGCGAAGTGGCGGAAGCTTCTCGGCTTCGTAAGCAGGTTGCCGCCCTGTAAGTGCAGAATGAGTGTCTTGAGAAGCGGAACAAAGAGAACTTGCAAAAGTTTCTTGCCGAGAAGGAGAAGCTTCAAAGTTCTCATGACGAGGTCTCGCGGGGTGTCACCGACAAGTTCTTTGACGGTATGGTTTCTTGGTTTAAGCCGCGATTTGAGCGGATTCAGACGTCGCTGGCTCAGCGAGAAGAGGTAGAAGCTGCCCTTGTGGGCGTGGAGAAGAGTAGCTCATGGTGGCGTTTCTTAAGAAGATGCAGGACAATGGATGGGAGCTTCCCGCCAGAACGATTCCCTCTTTTGAGAGGGAGTTTGCAAAGTGGCAAGCTACCAGTGATGCAATCGACGAGATAGTTATTACTAGCGAAGACATTAGCCTCCCGAGCAGATCAGAAATCGATAGCCTGCTAAAGTGAGCATAAAGCAAGCCAAGAGACGATCCATTTTGAGCCGTTTATCTTTTTTATCTTCTTTGTATATTTTTTTTAATTTGACTGGTCCTTGTGAGGTCTTTTTTGTAATGATTTTGCCAGAAAGGGTTTTTATAATGAATTTTCGTTTTTGCTCTTCTTGCTTCTCTTTTTTTTCTGCAAAAATAATTTAAAGTATCCGCAAACACTTTTAAAGTTTTTGTTTATGCGATTTGAACTTTTTGGTTTAGAGTTGGGAGCGAGATTTCTTTGTCCGTCTTATCCCAAACGATATTCAAGATCGAATACCAAACTTTCAGAATTCACTTCAGCCTGAAAGGTATGATCGAGGGTCGTGCGAGTGTTTTCCTCGGCTTATCCACTTCGAAAGTAATTAAATCGAACCGAAGTATCAAAGGAGTGGTGATCAGCCACTAATTTAATTTTTGTTTTTGCTTTTTCGAATCGAATGTTTGGCCAGAACATCGATTCAGCAAGATGCATTCGCATAAGAAAATATTACTCTATGTGCCGAGCTGATTTTCCAAAATAAAAATTTATTAAATTTACAGCTGCACCTGGAGGTTGCCTACGTACCCAAATTGAGATCAAGTCATTCATAGTTTATTACAATTCTTGAATGAGTGTTATCACTCAAGAGCCAAGCCGACCCTTATTGATAAATTAAGAAAAAGACTAAATATTAAAGCTGCGAGATTCTTTGTTGAATCTACTCCGCTTGTTTTATGTCTTCAAGGGCTTTTGCCGCGGAGAGTTTCACTTTGTGTTCACTAATAAAGCAGGATCTTGCCATCTGCTGGTTGCCGCGAAGCGTGAAGATGCCGACCGAGGTAGCAAACTTCATGCATTGGTGGTGGGTCGAGACGATAGCTTTCATCTCGTGGATCTAAGGTGTGCCAAGTATGACATTATAGATCGCCGGTTTATCCATGACAATGAATTTGAAAATCTTTGTCACTCCGCCGACGTAGACTGTCAGTCGTATGGTGCCGAGGCTGAAGAAGGACTCGCTGGCAAAGCCGGTTAAAGGCTTTGGCGCTGCCTTGATGTCTTTGTCCTGAAGTCCCATCTTGGTCAACGTATCTTTTTAGATGATATTGACAGTGCTGCCGGTATCCACCAATATTTTGGCCACCTCGCTATCGTGGATGTGTAATTCGACAACCAGCGGGTCGTTATATGGGGTGTATAACCCATGCATATCTTTTGATGTGAACGTGATCGTGGGATGGTAGTCCACGGGGCGAGGGAACTTTCGCGAAGTAATCGCTTTTCGGCCATACTCTTTGATGGCACGAACTGAATCGTCGCAGTCGGGGAGTCCTCCCATGATCATGATAACCCGTCGCTTGGGCAGAGGGATGGATTGTCATGTTCGCCTTCGTCATTTTTGTGCTCCGCTCTCTTTTCTTTTTCTTTTTCTTCTCGCTTTTTCTCGGGCGAACGATTTCGGCGTCTTCCTCCGGAGCTGCTTCGGCTGCTGCTTTTCCTTGGATCTCGGCGATCCTTGCTGGAGGTGCTTCAGCGCGAGTCCTTAGGGTTAGAACTGCGTGAGTAGAAAATTTTGTTCTGGGATCGGTTGCCACCAACGTCAATTTTGCCTTCCTTGTATTTTTCATATAATGAGTTCTAGAGGTGTCGACAGGCCGAGGTAGCGTGTCCTGTTCGCCAATGGAAGGAGCAGTACAGATCGTGGTTGTCGTCCCTATCGTCTGAATTCCTTGGAGGATCACCGCGGATCCACTGATTCCAGGGCTTCTCTCCATTGGCTACGACAGCATGAGAGGACGGCTTGTTTTTACCCGCAAGATCCTTGTCTTGCGAGGTGCTTGCCACGTCCATGCTGTGCTTCTTGGCATAGAAAGTTTTCTCCTCCTCCATTCGTATGAAAGTTTGAGCTCGGTGGAGTGCGTCTTCTATGGTTTCCTTCGGATTTTTCTGCAGATCCTCCTTGAAGGAGGATTCGAACCATAGGCCGTTCATGAGTGCATCGATGGCTAAAGCTTGCAGGATTTGCCCATACGCCGCAGCGGCATTCTTTTATTTTTTGATGAAATCGGGGAGTGGCTAGTCGCGCACTTGTACTAGAGTAAAAATATTGACCGTCCTTTTCGTAATGAACATAGAGTAGTGTTTTATAAAGGCGTGGGTTAAATCCTTGATGGATTTAATCGATGCTAGCGGGAGGTTAGAGAACCACTTGAGAACGTCCTTGCTGAGGTGCTCTACCAAAGTATGACAGTGATTAGCTTCGCATTCGATGTCGGTTTCGAACCGTTGCCTCTTCATGGCGACGTTGAACCCGGTCAGCCATAGGTTCGGGTCTTCCATCCCGTTGTGGTATGGGAGTTTCATCTTGATCGCCATGCCGAGTCGAACGTCTGTGATCTGTGAGGTAAACGGGTTGCGTTCAGCGTCTGACAGTATGGCCGAGATCTCAGGTGCCGAACTGGTGGCACAGTGGACTTGAGATCCGATTGCGTTAATCCGCTGGTGCAACCTTGCGATCTCAGAGTTCAGTTCGTCGGAGGGTTCCTCATTAGCTGGTGCTGCGCCCCGAGTGTTGGCTTGCTCTGGTGTCTCGAAGACCAAGCATCGCCCTAACGGTTCCGATCTCGCGGTGGTCGCGGCCGCCAAGGTGCTGAGTTGCTCGTCATACTTGGCCTGCTGGGACTGAAGGGTGTCTAGCTTGGACACTAGGTTTTGGGTGAGAGGGAGTAAGGCGGCTTGGATCGCTGCTGCGAGGTCGGTGGCGAGGATGGGAGCTGAGGGTGCTCCCGCGGGTGGATTCGCAGTGGTAGGGTTGCCGTGCTTGTCGAGACCAGATGTCTCTGTGGTGGTGTCCTCGTTGTTGAGGGTGAGGTTGCTGTTATTGTTCGGAAGGCTCATCGCTTTGGTTCTTTGGTCGCTAGTTTTACGAATTTTATTCTCCTAGTCCCCACAGACGGCGCCAACTGTTGAACCAGAAAATCACCACTAAGGATTTGAATAACAGTTGTGGGTTTTGGAGAATAAGATCTTTTATTGATAGCTGCAAAGCGAAGCAATTACAAGAGATGACTTAACCGAGAGGTTATGCCGAGATGAAAAGAAAGTGTTTGCGAAGTAAACTAGAAAGTGTTGAAGTTCTTGGTTTTAGCTCTGCTGCTCTCTAGATTGTATGAGTTGTTCCCTTAATCTTCGAGGTCTTCTTATTTATATGGATAGGAGGTTGATTGCTCCGAACTTCTTTTCCTTTTTCCCTTTGGTGAATATTTCCATATTCGCAATATGGAAATATCCCTTATTCTCGGAAGAATATGGAAATTCTCCATTATCCTTTGCGTTGATCCGACGCGTCTGGATTCCAAGATTATCCTTTAAGAGATTTCCTTTTCTCCGAGCTAGGTCGACATAGTCTCCTTGGTCTTGGTGGGCTTAGGTTATTGCTAGAGAAAACCTTTTAGGAAATGTGCTCATTTTCCCTCTAATAACTAATAAACTACATCATTGCGATCGAAACGTTTGCAACCGTTAACAAAACTAAATTATGAGCAACACCAAAGACTCCTTTACTGTCTCCTTTTCTCTTCTCTTACTTTTTCTCTAAATTTCTTTATTTTCTGCTCTTTCTTCTTCATATTCTCTTTCTCGTGATTCCTTTATATAATCTAATTTATCGCAGTCCACATTATTTTTGAAGCTTCCATTACCGTTTTCTCATACTTCTCTTGTTTCTCCGTGAGTTTCCCCGATATTGATTGAAACTAATCTAGTGGTCTGTTCACATTCTCTGCTATATCTTTTATCATACCTCGATAAGTCTCGTGTGTCATTGTGAGACTTTTCTCAATCAATGTTCTTAGCTTCTTCTTTCTCCGTTAGTACATATTTGGCTACCCTCGACTTCTAATGCGTTACATGTAACTTAACCTCAATGTCACTGATCTTCTTCATGAGAGTTTCTATCTCGTCTCCTTTCATTTCCAGCTCATTACGTAAACTCTTCATCGTCTATTCATAGCCTGCGAATCCGCAGTTTCAAAATCTCTAGATGTTACTTCCTTACATTTCTCCTCCAACAGTTTCTGAGCTTCTTTGTGATCCTTTGTTAGCTGTTTAAGTGTTTGCTCTCCCGACATATAATAAGGTGCTTCTTTTTCTATCAATGCCCTTTTGACATTGCCGATATGATTGGATAATTCTGATTTCTCTTGCCTCTCTCTATCAAGTCCTGCTTCGATTTTGCTCTTCTTTATCGGTAGAGAATCAAGTTCTTGCTGCTGATTGTTAATTTGTTATGTCAAGACTATTAATTGTTTTAGTAGATGCTTAGTTGAACTTATCGTGCAATTAATCTTTCTCTTATTTTAGTTCTTAACTCCTCGTTAAGTTCACTTCTCTATTTCTGTAAACTTTATATCTCGACTTCAAGACCATTGATCTTCTCAGATAAACCATTTTTCTAGAATATAGACTTCAGAAGTTGTTTCGTTGGAGAAGTACAGAGGATTAAAGAGTTTGCATGATTTGAAACAGCAGATCGGATAATTAATGCGAAGAGGGAGGTTTATAGAAAAGAAATGGTGGTTTCTTTGTGTGATAGCCATCACCAAGTGTCGATCAAAGCTCCAACTTGCACTGATACCAAAAATATTGAGGCGACAGTGTAAGGAGAATGAAGTGAAAGATCTCTCATTAGTTGGGCTTGCTAATGGGTTTTGCAAAAAATAAAAAGGGTTAAGAAAATTTTCCCATTAAATAGTAAAACTACTTGATGACATGTATTATTTAAAATATTTTCATTGGTTAGTTAACTTTTCTTATGTGTCAAATTTTTATAACTTCACAAAGCTGATGTGTCAAGCCATGGAGAGACATGGGTGTTTCTGTTGTACTGATTTAGATACCTAATAAAAAGTAACTACTTGTGATACTTTTACGAATCGTACTTGAAGATCATAAGTAAATTTGGTTATCTGAATCTTCCTTCTGTCTTTTTTTTAGTTTTTGATGTCCTACGAATCAAACTAGTTATATGCTTGAATACCATTTTTTTTTCAATTTTTTCATTCTATTAAAAAGGATAATGGTTACAATAGAAGCCTCACATGGTTACGGTCCAATTCTTCAGATCAAAACAGGTGATCCACATTTACGTATAAACATAAAACTTGAGCCAAAAAAAAATTAAAAAATTGAAAACCAGGTTGTTAAGTAAGAAATTATCGAAAGAGTGTTTGGGAGAACACGAGACAAAGAATGTAGGCGAGCCCTAAAAATTCTTTTGATCTCTTCCACAATAGAAGTTGGCAGATGAGAAGTAGCAAAATGCAGCCTTGAGTTCCGCTCTTTCCAAATACTATACAAGGAAGCTTGAAACGCGAGCTTAATGATGAGGGCAATATTCTTGTTAGTGGAGGGGGTTAACCATCCAGTTTAGCAGCGAGGAGAAGTCAGCAGGAGGTTGAAGATTGACAGCTGTTAAAAAAGCAGACCAAACCTTTTGGCTATAGGGGCAAATGAAGAAGAGATGATCCCTAGTCTCATCAACAGAGTTTCAGAGGAGGCAGGTGGAAGGAATTTTCAGTCCCCAAACCCGAAGCATATCTCTAGTGTACATCCTGTCCCGAGCTGCCACCCAACAAATGAAGACGTGCTTTGGAATCATGTCGGAGAACTAATCCGCATTATTCCAAGTGATTACGAGAGGACACAGATGGAGAAAGTTCCAAGTAGCCGAGGCAGAGAATGTCTTATGAACCCCTTGAGGACCTATTTTCCACTTGTAGAAGTCATCTCATGTGCAGATCCCGGAAAAAGTGCAGCACGTCGAATGAGAGTCTTACAGGAGGAGGAAAAGGGATTGATGGCCGAGACAGTAGCTGCCATTATGGCAGACCCCACCTTTGTCAACACTCCACTTCATGCGATGGACATTTAGAACCCCCCAAGTACATTTGGATCTTCCTCTCCTGGTTGAGGAAAACCCTCCAAAGAAACACAGAGTAAGACCTTCTACGAAAAACCAAGTGTCTCTTAGTCTTCAACATCTACTTGGAAGTAGTCTCTGTGTTCGAATGATGAATACTATCAGGGCATCCCCAAAGAGGCCAAAGAACATTACCTCTCGGATCGCTAATCGGGGTACACCAAAAGTTATGTCTCAGGGATCTCCCCTAGTGGAAAGTGGCAGGGGACCGAGCCACAGTGCTAACCTATTCCCAACGTGCTCTTTCTCTTTGTTCTGAGCATCACGAAGCTGAAAAAACAAAAAGGAGAGGAAGATTTTCACAATCCTCGAAATCATTTTCCTTAAGAATATTGAGCTGGAACTGCTGTGGATTGGGGGAATAACACAATAGTTCATATAATGGAGGATTTTCACAGGAAAGCATCACCTGATATTCTATTCCTTCATGGAGATAAAGAATGCATATCAGTTCGTCCTTAAACAGCTCCAACCACTTGGATATGAGAACCATAAGCTGGTCTCACCACACGGACAAGGAGGCGGTCTGGCCCTTCTCTAGCACAGGGAGGTTGATATTTCAATATTGTCCACATGCCATAACTTTATTGACACTGAGATCAAGTTTAAGACAGAAAGATCTAAGGCAACTTTCGTATATGGAGAACCTGATAACGCAAAAAGAAAGGAGATCTGGGATCAAATTACAAACCTGGAAGCTTCTCATGAAGGACTGTGGTTCTTGACGGGGTACTTTAAAGAGATCATCAACAACTCCAAAAAAAGGGAGGAACAGAGAGAGCAGAAGGCTCCTTCATCGAATTCTGGACCTTCATGTCATCTTGTGACCTCTTCCACCTAAGACACTCTGGGAATTTCCTCCAGCCAGGCAGGGTTTACTGCCGTCTCGATCGGGACATAGCTAATAGCTGCTGGTCTGATCACTTTCTATCGAACCGAAGCCAGTATCTCTGGTTTGAAGGTTCAGATCATCGTCCAATCCTCTTGTACCTGGACCCTACAAAAGGGAAAAAGGGGGCTTATTCCGATATGATAGGCGGCTCCGAAACAATATGGAGGTCAAAAAACTTATAAAAGATACATGAGAAGCAAATCCAAACCTGAGGGTGGAACTTCGCATAGCCAACTGCCGGACTGCAATTTCAAAATGGAATAGAGAAAAGCATGTCAACAGCCAAAAGGAGATAGAAATTTTAAAAAGAAAGCTGGAAGAAGCAATGACTAACCCGACTACCAACGAATCTGAGGTCCAAGCCATAACCTCCATAACCTCCAACCCCAACATCACCTATAAAGTGGAAGAGGACTACTGGAAGCAACATAGTAGGCAACTCTGGCTATCCCTGGAGGATAGAAACACCAGATATTTTCATGCATCAACCAAGAGGAGAAGGGTTAGAAATAGATTCTCAGTCATTGAGTACTTGGAGGGTAAAGCTTATTACGAAGAGGAACACATAACAACAACTATCTTTGAATATTTTGAAAAGTTATTTACCTCCAATCCATCAGACTATACGGAAACAGTCGCTTAAGTAATCCGGAAAAAGTCAGCGTGGAGACAAACGCAAAGCTTACAGCTCTACCAAGCCTGGAGGAAATCAAGCTATCTATGTTCTCGATACACACCGACAAAGCACCAGGCCCTGATGGTTTCTCGGCAAGTTTTTTCCACTCAAACTGGAACACAGTTGGACCAGCCATCATAGCAAGGCTTCTTCTTCGGCGGTCCCCTACCAAGATCAATAAACAATACACATATTAAATTAATCCCCAAGATCAAGGCACCAAAATCCATCGCATATTATAGACCTATAGCTCTCTGTAATGTTTATCACAAGACTATATCAAAGGTACTTACCATACGCTTACAACAAATCCTTGATGCGCTGATCTCCGAAAACCAATCAGCCTTTGTCCCAGGCAGAGCGATAGCTGACAATGTCCTCATCACCCACAAAGTCCTCCATTTCCTCGAAGTTTCAAAAGCAACAAAACATGTGTCAATGGCAGTAAAAATTGATATGAGTAAAACCTGTGATTGGCTAGAATGGAACTTCATTAAAGAGGTCTTTATCGACTTTGGGTTTGATCCTATTTGGGTGGGGTGGATTATGCAGTGCATTTCAACAGTAAGCTACTCCTTCCTCATAAATGGAACAGCTCAAGGAGCAGTCACCCCATCAAGGGGGATCTACCAGGGTGACCCACTCTCGCTGTATATTTCATTTTATGCAGTGAAGTCCACACTAGACTATGTCTAAATGCAAAAAGACGTGGAAAATTACCTGGTATCAAAGTTACCACGGGAATCCCTCGAATTAACCACTTCCTCTTCGCAGACGATACTATGTTCTTTTGCAAAGCTACCCACCGCAACTTTGTAGTGCTGAAATCGATCCTGCAACAATATGAAAAGGTGTTAGGCCAACTGATAAACGGTGCAAAATCAACAGTAACCTTTGCTTCCAAAACACCTATGGAGGTTAGGAACAGAGTAAAAGGTTATCTCGGTATTGCGGAGGAGGGAGGTGCAAGGAAGTATCTGGGCCTCCCAGAACATTTTGAAAGACGCAAGAAGATATGTTCACCTCTGTGGTTGACCGAATCAGACAGCAAAGGCAAAGGTGGTCATCAAAGCTTCTCTCGGGATCTGGAAAGCTGACACTCCTCAAGTCTGTTCTAATAGCTATGCCCACATACTTGATGTCATGTTTCAAGCTCCCTGTTAGCATGTGTAAGCGGATACAGTCAACTCTAACAAAATTCTTCTGGGACGCAAATGAAGAGAAAAAAATAATATCTTGGGTAAAGTGGGACACACTTACAAAACTAATAAAAGAAGGCGGGTTGGGGCTGAACGAGATTGAATGCTTCAATGACGCTCTCCTTGTGAAGCTTAGCTGGCGAATCCTAGCTAAACCCACATCACTCCTAGCTCAGATACTAAAACTCAAATACTTTGCAGAAGTTTCTTTCCTTGATGCAAAAGCTCCATTCGCTTCATCGCATGGATGAAAATGGATCTTAACGGGACGGGATGTCCTTGTAAAGAACCTGCAAAGAATTGGCTAGTCGCGGACCTCATATTAGAAGAGACAGAAAACTGGGATACAGGAAAGATCAACTTACTTCTTCCAGACCATTCTCTGCCTTCGACCGAGCACAAGAGGAGAACATAACTCTCTTGTATGGCTAGGCAACGAATCAGGAATCTATATCATTAAGTCGGGTTATCAAGACACCTATACAGCTAAGCACCCTGCGGAAACTCCACTTTTCCCTTGGATCGACGAAATCTGGAAGGGCAAGTTTGCACAGAAAATCAAAATCTTCCTATGGAAGATCCTTCAAAAAACGCTGCCAATTGGAGAGCACTGAGTCATAAGGAAGGTCCCCAATGTTGAACAATGCATAAGGTGTGGAGAAATTGAGACTACTAACCATGTATTTCTTTTTTGTCGGTACGCACACAGGAGGTTTGGAGTTCCTCTCCATTCGCCACACGTATGGACTCATCTCACCTCTGTGATCTTAAGCTTTAAACATTGGCGGTGTCTTCCGCCGTTTGGAATCAAAGCAGGAACTGTCTTCCCCTGGATCCTTTAGTCGATTTGGATCTCCCGAAATTATCTGATCTTTGAGAACAGGATCTTCACGGCTCAGGAGACAATCACCAAAGCTTTACACGATGCCAGAGAGTGGAAACTAGCCCAAAAGGAGGAGGAAACATATGTCTCTCTCGCCAAACAAGTTGTTGCTTCACCTCTCAATTCGGATGATAATGCATGCAATACAGACGTGGATTGTAGTGTAGATCGACAACAAGCAGGACTTGGATGGGTCTTCAGAACTCATAAGGGAGCGATCATGACACAAGGAACACAGATCGACTCTTCAGCGGCCTCCCTTCTAATGACGGAATCGCTAGCAATCTTCAACGCTTTGAAGAAAGCTTTACATGAAGGTTGGAAAAAACTCAAAGTCTACTCTGATTCTTAGGTTCTCATCGAAGCTTTAAACTCCGCCAAGCACCAGAAGGAGATTTACGGCTTGGTTTACGACATCAAGCACCTCTCTCTCCTTCGACGTTATCTCCTTTCAGTTTGTACCAAGATCAGCTAATGGGTTAGCAGATGTTTTAGCAAAAAAGCCCTAAAACTTTTTTGTAATAGTTTTTGCCCAGCCCATTAAGATTTTTTAATAATATATTTACAATTCAAAAAAAAAAAGTCATCAAAATCAGATGTAGCTATTGGCAATGGATTTGGTAGACATTGCCAGATCAAGGAGATAGTTGGGTTTCGACTCCTCGATCTTTAAAACCACCAAACCCCATTACGAATGCCATCAGCTACAACTGCCATACTCGGAAGCCCACAGATGCGAAGTCCCTCTGTATCAGTGAGATTAATCAGAGAATCTAATCCTGTCCAATTGTCATGCTAGAATAGAGCAGTTAGGTCCAAACCAACATCACAAACAATGAAAGGCCTAGCTAGGCTTCTGTGCTTACATAACTACTTGAATATCTTCTTTCAAACTACATTTTTTTTATCTCTATGACTATGACTATATAATTGCTATTTCATTCGTTTCTTAAATTTTGATTTCACCATCTACAAATGACTTTAAATAAAAGATTCCATCTGAGATGATTGGTCATCGAGGTGTTTAGTTATCAAAAAGGATTTATATAGTGATTTTGTTTATCTTATTAAGAGAAGAAGAAGAGAGAGCTGCTTTTGCCATATGGAAATATCAACTACTTATGCTATTACAAAAAGATAGAAGTACTCTTTTCGTTTTGCTTTTGCTTTGCATGGCTTTCCTCTGTAATATTTGAGTCTTTTGTAGGGATTAAATATTTTCATTTTGTATATCTATGATTATGAATGATATTGAATAGCCATTAGATAATGTTTTCAATCAGAAGTTTGAAGTTGATTTGACTTTTGGTTGAAAACTGAATTCATTTATAAATCCTTTTTGATAACTAAACACTTCGATGATAAAAAAAAAAAAAATCACTACATATGTATAGTAGAAACTCTATAAATTAATATTTGATTAATTAATAAACTCGATAAATCAATAATTTTACTCGGTCCCCAGTTAAACCAGTTCAAAATTTAATACAAATCGATAAATTAATAAGATAATAATTTTTTTTGAAAACCTATGTAAAATATAGTTCTATTAAATCATAAATTAATAAATATTATATAAAATAATTTTATATAAATATATAATTATAGTAATCTATTAAAATATAAGTATATTATTGTTTTTATATTAAAATTGAAGCATTTTTATTATGTATCTTTAATTTTATAATGAAAATTCCGAAAATATTATAAAATTTTTAAAAAAATATTATTTTTATTTAATTTATTAATATACAATTTATTTTATTTAAACCGATAAATTAATAACTCTATAAATTAATAAAATATCAAAAACTCAACATTATTAATTAATAGAGTTTCTACTGTAGTTGATATTGTCATAGCATCTGCCATGATCAACTACTTATGCTACTGTGTCGAGTGGACTATTTTGGTAACTAAATTAATCACTCATCTAAGTTAATTAGTTTTGACACATAAATATTTGACTGGTTTAAAAGATAATTTGTGTTGTTAAAATAGATGCAAGCTGGGTTAGTAGATAATTTGTGTTGTTAAATTGGTCTGATCTATAAAGAAAGAATAGATAACAGAAAAACTCAATCAACTACTGATGTAAATGTTTTTTTTTATATATATATATACTGAAGTGATAATGTTTTGAAACAAAATTAGAACTAACTGTACCAAATGACTCCACATTCTAAACTAGGTTCCTGTCATAAACATGGAAAAGATACATGGATCAGACTTTTTTTTGTTCCTTGTGTCATGTTTTAATATTTTTGTATATGGATTGCACGCCTAACGATCATACTAATTTAACAACACAAATTATCTATTAAACCAATCAAATATTTATATGTCAAATCTAATTGGCTCCTTTAACAATTGATATTTTGTTGCAGATAAGTGATCAGCTTAGCTACAGAGATAGTTAACTCCATTAACAAGACATCTTATGGCTCTATTAGGAGCTCATAATATGATCAACGTTAATGCTACATTATCCATACAATATTTGATAAACTCTTCGAGAGAGTATTTCTTCAATGAAGATCGATGAGAGGGAGAAATAGACTATTTGAAGAAGCCATAGAACACCTTCTTTAAGGGGGAAGTGTTCTAGAAGAAGATTGTCCATTAACCTACAACTTAAATACCGCAAATCCATCCTTTGTTGGGAGATAAAGACTTTCTAGCAGCGAGGATTGTTGTGCACAGACTTATCTACTTATTAAATTTGTTTTCTTATTCAATTTTGAATTATTTTTGATTATTCAATTTTGAATCTGAATCTGAATTTAAATTTTACTACGTGGTGGTTGGTCCGCAGGTATATACGGGCATAAGAATTTTGATAAAAATAGTTAATAATAATATTTATTATTTATAATATATAAGTGATTGACCTATTTATAAATATATTTGCAAAACAATTTAATTTGTGAAAAAGTATTTTAATATTTTTTAAAAATTATATATAGCAAAAAGATAAAATATATAAAAGAAAAATATAAAGTAGAAATGATTCTTCTTTATTATTCGTTTTGTTTTTCTTCTATTTTTTATTCAATTTTTCATATTATTATAGTTTTTCTTCTCGTTCTGTCACCTTTTATCTCATTTCTCGTTTCTAATTCTCACTATATAATTGGAATACATTCAAATATAATATAAACCATTTTTCTTTGTTTGTAATGAAACAAGATGAGATGATTATAAAACTTAAGAAATTTTACCTCGAAAAATCCCATTCCATAAATTTTCACACAAAAAAACTCGAATTTGTAAATATCCTACTAAAAAACTTACTTAAACATAAGATTCCAAAAGGTTTTCCATCAAAAATTCGATTCCGCAAATTTTCTGCAAAAAATGGGAATCAGTAACTTTCGATTTTGTAAATTTCCCACCAAAAAGTGAATCCATAAAAAAACCACCAAAAAAACTTATTATTAGAAATGTGATTTTAAAAATACCATTCAAAAATTTGATTTCATGATTTTCCCGCCAAATATGTGAAGTCATAATTCTTTTGCCAAAAAACTTACTAAAAAATATGATTTCAAAAAATTTCTATGAAAACCCGATTTCCATAAATTTCCGCCAAAAACATGAATTTGTAAATTTTCCAATAAAACATTTATGTCAAAAAGATGATTCCAAAAATATTTTGTAAAAATTTTAATTCCATGAATTTTATACCAAAAAGTGAATCTATAAAAATTTCCGGCAAAGAAAAATATGATTCCAAAAACTTTGAGTCATAATTTTCTCTTCAAAAATGAGATTTTAAAAACTTTTTTTTTGTCAAAAATGAATTTCACGAATTTTATGCCAAAAATTATGAGTCCAGTCAAAATGTGATTTCAAAAACTTTCTATCAAAATTGGTTGATACAAATTTCTCACCAATTATTTGAATCCGTAAATTATATATTAAAAATTCTACATTGAAGCCGAAATATAATTATAGAAGTCTCCCTGTCATGATGAAATATAATTGTTTTGCCAAAAAAAAAATCTGTAAATTTTCCATTAAAAAGGTGAATATATTGTCAAAAAATTACTTTATAAATATGATTTTATTCGTCAATGAAGGCTGCACTCTTGACTGTTGTTTCTTTATAAATCCAGAATCTTAATATCTTCTTGGATTGCAAGGTGCTTGCCTCCCTTCTCACTTCGGGATCGTCCACCATCGCTTTGAAGGGACTGATAGAAGATATCAAGATTTTGGCGACTAACTTCTCGACTCTTAGTTTTTTTCTCATTTCCCGTTTAAATAATAATAAAGCTGATGCTTTGGCAAAAGCTGCTCTGGCTTATGTAAACTCTTACTCCCTTGCAAGAGTATAATCTTTTTAATTAAAGGCTTCTTTGATCAAAAAAAGTTTTTGTCAATAAATTGATTTCGCAATTTTTTTGCCAAAAATTATGAATCCATAAATTTTCTGTCCAAAATGTGATATCAAAAACTTCATGGCAAAATAAAGTGCCACAAATTTTCTGCCAAATGCTTGAATCCATATATTTTTCGACAAAAGTTTTGTGTCGGAAATGTGATTCAAATCTATTTGACAAAAATCTCACTTACCAATTTTTCTGTTAAAAATTTGAATACTTAATTTTATATCAAAATTTTAACATCACATCTTATATATTATTTGACAAGCATGTTTAGGGAAAAATGCTGATGTATTATAAGGAGAAAAAAAGTTAATGTATATTAATGATGACCTGGAAATGTGACATGACAAATTTCCTAAAATAAACGAAATAAGTTAAAACTAAATAAATCTCATTTTTATATAAGAAAAAATAAGATTATATTATATGTGAATGCATTCTCATTATTTATCAACAATTCGAAACTATAAATGAAACAAAGAAATAAACGGATAGAAAAATAGATCATAAGTATTTTTTTAGTGAAAACGAAGTATAAATAATAGTAAAAATAAATCTCTACGACTTTGATTTTCTGTAAAAATTTCGGGCTATATCTTTGGTTTAAAGAATCTCCAACCCACCTTTATTTCAAATCTTCTGATTTAGAGGAAAAACAGAGATGTAATTTTTGCCTCTATAATTGGAGGAGAAAATAACAATATTTCTTTTCCTGTAAAATATAATAAGTTGGAGAGAAATCTACCTATGTTTTAGAAGAAAAAATAGAAAAATACATTGGAGATGATCTTGATATGTAATATATTATTCAAAATTAAGAAAACAAATATGAGTCAAAAAGATTAAAAAAAATAAAGAAGAATAATTTTGATCGATTTTATATTTTTATTTAAAATATTTTAAAATATTATCTTACACATATTAATTATTTCATTTATATATTTTTCCAACATATTAAAATATTATTTTATGAATCATGTTTTTATATGTTCTGATCCATTATATTTTATATTAACACATATATCAAAGTTAGGAATATAAGAACTATTAATTTTTAATATAACAATAAATTATTAAATATATTATTTATACCTTAAACTATACACATATAAGTTTAGGATCCGACTAGTTTAAACGTTGCAGTTATGGAGAGTATGTGGAACGAGCGATTGTAGGCTATAAATTTTTGAGGAAGAGATGAGCAGAGAGCTACCGGAGAAGTTTATAAAATATGATTTCACAAATTTATAACAAATATTTATTATAATTTTTATTAAGAGACCATATATTATAAAACGCTGAAAATAAAAAATTTTGATTAAATATAAAACGACAGAAACAATTTTTGTAGTTGTTGTTAAACGCCAAAACGGCATCGTGTAAAAACATAACGTTTGCGAAAAATATCAGAAAAATTAATCAACATCTAAATATTA